ATCAATTTGTAATTGGCTACGTCATCCCTTCACCTCCTCCCTGCCCATAGTTGATTGAACCAGGGAGAGTTACCTGATTCAATCGCCAATACATTGCTTCCGTAGAAATTATAACTGGGATTAACTTGTTGGAATTAATCTTTAAATTTTTAAATGTATTATTCTGTACCTACAAAATAATATATATAACATATATGATGGTTATAAATCATAGTTACAATGAGAACACCAATGTACCCAGAACTCAGTGTGAAAACAAAGACATCATCCTCCACTTGGAATCTCCCTGTGTGGTTCATCGTATACTGTCCTACACTCCAGAGTTAACCATTTTTCTAAATGTTGTATCCAATATTTACTTCCATTCTTAAAAATTATATTTCATACTTACACATTTATAAGGAGTATATAATTTAGTCTTACATGTTTGCAGATGTTCAATAATTTTTTTTGAGTAAATGGATACTCAAGGTTTTTATCAGTAATTTGTTTTTTCATGTTTGTCTTTTCTCTACATAGTTTTACACAAGCAAGAGATAACCTCTTTTTAATAAATTTCTCTGCTCAGTGAATGGCATAACTTCCTAGCAAGTTACTTAAGCCAAATGCAAACCAGCCTGGAGACTTTCCTTCTCCTCTGCTTTTGGCATATCTGCCAGTCTTGCTTCCAGCATGTGCCAACTCTGACCACTTCTCATCATCTCCACTGGCACAACCCTGTCCCAGCCATCCTGCTCTCTTTCCTGGAAAAGCTGTCATAGCCCCTTTTCTGCTCCCACTCTTACTGCCCATAATCTGTGTTTCACGTTGCTGCCAAAGTGATTTGTGGGAATTTTTGTAAACATATTCACATCATGTCATTTTCCTGCTTAAAACACTTAAGTGACTTCCTGTTGCATGTAGAACAAAACCCATTTTCCTCATCATGGCCTGCAATTATTTATGTACCATGACCCCTGGCAAGCCTTGACTTAATCCCCTACTCCTTACCTATGTGCTCATGACACTCCTTTTGTCTTGGTGACCTCTGTGCTTCTTGTTCCCTCTGCCCCTACACATATTCCCAGATCATTGCATGGCCGGATCCTTTTTTTAATGTGTGCAAATTCATGAGGTACATAAGAATTTTTTTACACATATATAATACAAGTTAGGGTGTTTAGGTTGTCCATTTTCTGAGTGAAATACATTTTTTTAAAGTATACTGATCCTACTATGCTATCAAACATTGAATTTATTCCTTCTGTCTTACTGTATGCTTGTATCTTTTTACCCACTTCTTTTCATTCTCCCTCTCCCCCTCACTCACCCTTTCCAGTCTTTGTTATCTATTTCTACACTTTCTACCTCCATGTATTCAAATTTTTTTTTGCTCCCACATGTAAGAACATGGAATATTTGTCTTTTTGTGCCTGGCTTACTTCGCTTAATATAATGACTTTCAGTTCCATCCATGTTGCTGTAAACGACAGGACTTTGTTTTCTTATTGCTGAATAGTACTCTGTTGTGTATATATAGCACCTTTTCTTTATCCATTCATCTGTCGATGGACACAGAATGATTCCATATCTTTGCTAGGATCCTTCTGAAACAACAAATGTCACCACCACACAAGGGCCATTTCTGACACCCCACCTGAAGTAGCCTCTGTCCTCTTTCACTTTTATCACATTCAGCCTTTTGACCTGTTTATTGTCAGCCACTCTCTTCTTATTACATGAGTTCCTTGAGGATAGGGACCTTTACCTAGTTGAATAAAAAAATTACTGACACTTGTTTTTAAAAAGTGATAAGGAAGACATTTTATTCCAGACTATTGCAACAGGGGAATTGCAATAAGGGAGACAGATCAGGTTCAACTCTAACTACAACAAGGACAAGTCAGGATTTATGGTCAATGAGTAGACGGAAGGAGGTCACTGGATAGAAAATTAATAAGAGGAGACATCAAGGGTAGGGTGATTCTTACCAAACTGATCTAAGAATATTCTTGCTGAAGACAGGCCAAACTTAGACATCAAGGTAGGGGATGAAGAACTCGATCCCCTCTAAAGTAAGGAATGGAGAACAGATTTTAAGTGTGAGAGATTCTCTCTAAACATACTTAGCAAGATTCTTGCTATAATTGAGTTGGACAGACCAAAGACAAGATGGAAGCCACGGTCTATGTCTAGTTGAGAAGAGGGCTCAGAGAACCCTGACTAAAGTTTGGTGATGGAGAGAATCTTCATTAATTTCTTGTTCTTTTCTGTATCTCTAAAGTAGTACTAATCAATAGAAATATAATGAGAGCTACAAATTCAAGATGAATGCAAATATATTATTTTTTTCTAGTAGTCAAATTAAGAAAAGTAAAAAGGGACAGGAGAAAATACTTTTATTTATTTATTTTTTATTATTATTATACTTTGAGTTCTAGGGTACATGTGCATAACGTGCAGGTTTGTTACATATGTATACTTGTGCCATGTTGGTGTGCTGCACCCATCAACTCGTCAGCACCCATCAACTCGTCATTTACATCAGGTATAACTCCCAATGCAATCCCTCCCCCCTCCCCCCTCCCCATGATAGGCCCCGGTGTGTGATGTTCCCCTTCCCGAGTCCAAGTGATCTCATTGTTCAGTTCCCACCTATGAGTGAGAACATGCGGTGTTTGGTTTTCTGTTCTTGTGATAGTTTGCTAAGAATGATGGTTTCCAGCTGCATCCATGTCCCTACAAAGGACACAAATTCATCCTTTTTTATGGTTGCATAGTATTCCATGGTGTATATGTGCCACATTTTCTTAATCCAGTCTGTCACTGATGGACATTTGGGTTGATTCCAAGTCTTTGCTATTGTGAATAGTGCCGCAATAAACATACATGTGCATGTGTCTTTATAGCAGCATGATTTATAATCCTTTGGGTATATACCCAGTAATGGGATGGCTGGGTCATATGGTACATCTAGTTCTAGATCCCTGAGGAATCGCCATACTGTTTTCCATAATGGTTGAACTAGTTTACAATCCCACCAACAGTGTAAAAGTGTTCCTATTTCTCCACATCCTCTCCAGCACCTGTTGTTTCCTGACTTTTGAATGATCGCCATTCTAACTGGTGTGAGATGGTATCTCATTGTGGTTTTGATTTGCATTTCTCTGATGGCCAGTGATGATGAGCATTTTTTCATGTGTCTGTTGGCTGTATGAATGTTCTCTTTTGAGAAATGTCTGCTCATATCCTTTGCCCACTTTTTGGTGGGGTTGTTTGTTTTTTTCTTGTAAATTTGTTTGAGTGAAAATACTTTTAATAATACATTTTATTTAATTCAATATATCCAACTATTATCATTTAAGCATATAATAATTTAAAATTATTAATGAGATATTTTACATTTTTTTCTTTTACCAAATATTGTAAATCTAATAGTGTTTTATACTCACAGTACAACTCAATTCAGAGTAGTCACATTTCAAGAGTTCGAAAACTACATGTGGCTTGTGGCTACCAGTAGTAGAGGTTTAAAGGCCAGAAGCAACTTCACACAAGGCATATAATAAATGTTTATTGAATAAGTAAATGAAAGAACCAGTGCATTAATAATAAATCTATTCACAGAAATGGCAAATTTCTTCTCTCAAGTGTTTACAATATTCTGTTTCCAAGTTCTACTCTGGAAACATGTATAAACAGAGTATGTGTTGCTTGATTTGGGAAGAAATGGATATTGTAAATAATAAGACAACACTGTATCACATCTCGAATATCATTTAATTTTTCACTCATCCTTTTTCTATAAATATTCCAAGGTAATGATGGAAAAATATCATAACTATGAGTTTTATACATGAAGGCATTTATGCAACTGGAAGGTTTTTTGGCCAATTAGGTATTGTTTTCATCCATTAAAAATGTTTTTGTTGAAGTATAATACCACAATTTTCACACACTGTCTGCAACAGGAATTGTTTTAAGTATCCAATTTTCTTTTGTTTCTTTCACTTCATCACTGGTATCTATGTTGAGTACAGGTGATGGCATTTGGCATTATTTATTCACTATGAAATGTCAGGGCAGTAATAGCTGGGTCTTTCAGCTGGGAACAGTAAGACACTTACACTTACTGTGCATTGTGTGGCTTCAGAATACTTCTTTTTTCTATTATTGTTTTTCCTTCATCCAGTGTGTTAAACTAAGGGAAGAAGAAGGTTTTTTTTCTATTTACCATGTAGTCAGGATGTGTCTATCTAACTTTCTATGTGCATTGTGAATTCATGCAGCTGTAAAGCTGATCTCCTCCGGTACAATCTATTGTGGTAGTCTCAAAAGCTGTCATTGCTTAGTCAGATCAACTAAATGCCCATTAAAACATCCAACAGTCCAGAGGACTTATGAAAATATTTATCTGATATTCTATCTATGTCATACATAGTTTCATTTGACATCTTTATGAATCCAGGTATAAAAGATAGGAATTAGAGAACTAGAACATATTTTAAAACAGGCAAGAGATTACATTTTAGCTCCAGTTGTATGACAGCAAAAGAATACATCTTTCATTCCTTTTCCCTTCACAATTAGATTTCTTGATAGAGACATAAAAATGTTTTTGATTTTACTCTTGAATTTTTTTGGCAAGCTTAACAAAGGCCAAATCAATGCTAAATCAGAGGTATTTACAACATCCACAAATTTAATCCAAAGTGGATACTTAAAAGCTCATATAGATCTAAATGATATTCTCCCAGATGGTGAATTAATGTAATTTTAGCAGGAAGCAAAGTTGCACAAATATGCAGTATTGAGGACTCGCACTGATTTAATGTATCTGTGCCCACCACGGCACAGATGTTGCTTATCATTTTAGTGCCAGTTGTCTCTGTTTCTCTCTATACTACAAAAGGAAGAATGGGATTTGGAAGTTCAGTAAATTATGATTTATTTTGTTACCAATGACTTGTTAAAAATTAAAGCTTTCTGTGAACTGTGTATTGGTTATATTCTTTCTACAGGGTTTGAAAGGTGACTTGGGTCCTCGTGGTCTACCTGGCCCAAAAGGAGAAAAGGTATTGTGTTTACTCAGCCAAGCCCAACCTTTCTTTAAGAAAACTCTGCCAACCTATACAGTGACTTCTCATTGATACTGTGTATCTCCTAAAAGCATTTTAAAATTAAAAGCATTTTAAAATTAAAATTAATAGCATCTGAATAAGAATAGCCTTTTTGTTCATTTGATTAGTTTGAAAAGACTAAATGAACAGTTGCTAGTTGACATTAACTTGTATTTGTAAGATTTCCCTTTTCTCACCCTTGCTTAACAACATTAGGTATTCAATCATCAAATTAGCAAGTGTGACCCATATTGGAAAACTTTGCCAATAACACTGAGCTGCTGCCATGATGGTGAGGCAAGTGGCTTTTGGAAATAAGCTAATTTTGTATCTCAGTCTTAATGTAACTATTCCATTTTCTGCCACTTTTTCTCATAAAATAAGTTATTTCATAATGACATGTTGGTAACGATCTTGAAAAGGAAATTAAGAAATAGTAAAAAGCAAGGATTGTTTTGAATAAAGTAGTTAGGTGATCCCAATTTGATGAAAATTGTATGTATATATGTTTTGTAATGTATTTTGTTCTCCATTTTTAGCACATTTAGAAATCCTTGTCTATCTTCAATATTCGTCTCTGTGTTAAAGGTGATCCTGCAAATGAGTCCCCAGTGACTGATTTAAGCCACATCAGTGTTCCTTAGCAACTGTTGGCTATTTTAATTCAATTGTTCCAAAAACAATGAATACACAATGCTAAGTTTTAACTTTTGAGTTGGCTATATTGAGAAAAGAGAAAGTCCTAAAGATACTCAGTGTGAGACCGACTACAGCACCCTGGTACCCCATGCTATATAGTACATGGCCTCCATAATGTGCACCTAAGTAAGAACCATAGAAAGGATGTTTGGTCTTTAATGTTTGAGAGTTCTTATGAAATAAATAAAGTTCCTGGGAAAGTAAAGCATGAAGGTGACATAGAAATTGGAAAATAGTGAACTTTTAGATGAACCATTTTTTAAAGATGTTGAATAGTTTGTTGATATATCCACCTGGAAATTTGTATTCACATAGATCAGCAAAGCAATTTTAGTGTTCAAAAATACATAAATATAGGCAAATCCTCTTACAGTTGATGGCAAATGCAATGCCAATTCAGCAGAGCTTTAGAAGAGGCCATGGGACTGCTTCTTGCAGCTGGGAGGCATGAAATGGGGAGATCCACTTATTATTTCTGCTGATCCTCATACTAACTTTGTCAGACAAATTATCTATCGCCGTGACACTTCCCAGCTGCTCCATTGGCAAGTAAACATACTTGAAAATATATTATTTCTAATTTTGGATTAGTAGACAAAAGAATAGAAAATTAGATTATTTTAGCTTTCAAAACAAGTCCTGCTGTTGCAAAAAGCATGGAGTATGCAAGGTGATTTTTATATCATGAAAGGGAAAAGGGATATGATATATTTTCTTTATGCAGAGACTTTTATCAGGATGAAATTCTATTTTTCTATTCTTCAAGATTTATCTCTATATATTGCTTCTATCCACCTAGAAATGTATAAATAATGTGCAAAAAGGGACTAGTGGTAATTGTAACTTTTCTTTAATCTATTTTAGGGAGATACCGGACCCCCAGGACCACCAGCCTTACCCGTAAGTATTCTTGAAATCAAAATTCAAAATTGAAATCCATTATTCTGTTTATTATTCATATTACATTATGACTAAACCAGAATTTAAATCACAGAGTTAAGAATTGAAGGTGACTTCGAGTACATGTAGCCAAACCTCCACATTTTAAAGATTGGGCATCTGCCCACATCAGTGAAATACCTGACCCAAGGTCATACGGGTAGTTACAATAAAAGTCTGGAATCAGTACCTACCCTGAGCAATTTCCTCTGTCCTCCATATGGCTCATAATTGTGTCTCCTAAGTATTTGATTATGCACTCTTAACATCAAGTTTAACGTAAATGGAATCAGATACAGTCCTACTTGCTTTAAAAGCTGCAAAAGGACAAAACAAACTCTAATCACCCAGTGAGTAAAAACAGCTACCTATGGAACTGATAGTTACATTCTCCCAACACCGTCCAAAACCATTGTTATTTTCCTCTATGATTTGCTTCTAAAATTTGCAGATGATAAAATTGCAATATTTTAGTGACAGATTTATGAGAAAAGTTTATAGTGTGCACATAATGAGATTGTTCTCAATCAAATGGTACGTCATCTATTAAGCACTTAATAATAAATATATGATTCTCATATTCAGATACAATTTACTATTACAGACTTCTTTCATAGGCGATTAAAGATTTTTATTTAACTTATGAAAGACTCTAAGCCTAATGGAAAAGAGGACAGGTTTTTTTTTTTTTTTTTTTTTTTAAAGATCTTCTATAGCCTGAGGTCTTTTGAATTTTATGTTGATATTACCTAGTGAGATAAATTAAGCATTTAAGTCAGTAGTATTCAAAGACCTATTCTGATTATAGAAGGTCAGATTTTAAAAAGTATTCTAGTAATCTGGACGGAGCCCTTCCCATTGGCAGAACATAGGAATCTCAAAAACTGTGTGATTTTGATAATATTTATATTTATCTTTGTACTTAAAAATCCCATTATGAAAAATATATTAATAGTGTCTTACACAAATAATCGTTACAACTCCCACATAAATGTTTTTTGATATGTAGAAAACCTAAGGAACTAAATAGGTAACTTACTTGGGGATAACTCGTTCAATTTGCAGTGGAATTTTATGCTTTAAGCTTTTATTTTAAGCTTGAAAAGAAAGACTATTTGAGAGGAAGTTGTAAGTGCATATTATTCAGTTTTTTTTATACTTTATAAAATTTTATTTTATTTTATTTTTTTAAGATGGAGTCTCGCTCTGTCACTCAGGGTGGAGTACAGTGGCATGATCTCGGCTCACTGCAACCTCCACCTCCCAGGTTCAAGCGATTCTTCTGCCTCAGCCTCCTGAGTAGCTGGGACTACAGGTGCCTGCCACCATACCCGGCTAATTTTTGTATTTTTAGTAGAGACAGGGTTTCACCATATTGGTCAGGCTGGTCTGGAACTCCTGACCTCAGGTGATCCACCCGCCTCGGCCTCCCAAAGTGCTGGGATTACAAAGTGCTGGCTTGAGCCACTGCGCCCAGCCTTACACTTTGTAGAATTAAAAAAAAAAAAAAAAAAAATTATTTGGCAGTGATTTAGTTAAACCTGCTCCTTTCTTTAGGACACATGCCTGTTTCTCTTCAACTAAGTTATATGCAGTCATTTAGTTAAACCTGCTCATTTTATATAAGACACATGCCTATTTTTCTTCAACTAAGTTATATACTCAACTACTCAGTTATCTGATTTCCTTGTCATTTTCAACTCATGTTGAAAGACCGATATGCAATCTACATATATTATTTCACTTGAAATACAATTTTTGCTTCTCAATCAGAAAATTGTATTGAATTACGTATATTTTGTGGATGTTTAATAGCAGCCAGCTTCTTTCTGCCAAGGAACACCTTGAAGATACCTCTCTGCACCATTCAGCTATCAAGCACTTAGAGATTACAGGCTAATTTCATACTTGTCTAAAAATATGACAAGGAAAAAACACTATGAAATGAAATGTTTTATTTCATAAAGTAAAATATTCATATTATTGGGGTATTACTATTTTGTATGCTTGACATTACTTTCTTTACCAATATAAATTTTCAACTCTTCCCTACAAAATAGGGATAAACTAAAATGAATACCAACTTACAATACACGAAATATTTAACTGATCTTATAATACAGGTTGGTACACTATTAGTTGAAATAATTTATAATAGTCTTTGAGGAAGCCCAAATGACTAACTGCATTATATTTGGATTAAATGAGGCAGTGATATATTGGAGTCAATAAACAGAGTTCATCCATAATTGTTCTCAAAACTAGCTCCACATTAAAATCTACTGAAGAATTTTAAAAAGTACCGATATTGGGGCTCCACCCCCAGAAATTCCAATTCAATCAACCTGATGTGGGACAAGTATATTTTAAAAGCTCCCTGAGTGGATCTAAATATGCAGCAGGAGTTGAGAACTGTTATTTATGGGAACTAGAATGGAAAAAGCTTTCTTCCTACTCAAAGAAATTATATTAGATTGTTGAAGAAGTCCAACTTTCATTTGAAATCCAACTTAATACATAGCAGTAAAGAACTATCTCCTTCAATTAGGGAGGCATACTAGTAAAATGAAGTTAAGATTGAACTCTGCTTCATTAAATGGAGAGAATTAGGGCTAGGAAGATACCTTTAATTACAGCCTTCATCTAAATGTCCACGTACTCCTGTGGGCTTGGGTGCCTTTAATGCTTCTTAAGATTTCATGTACGTAGGAACACTCAGGGTCTTGTTCAGATGCATGTTTTTATTCCTAAGTCTGATGTGAGATCTGAGCTTCTACATTTCTAGCAAGCCCCAAGGGAGTCAGATGCTACTGGTTGTTGCACTACCCTGGTCACACGGGCTTAGCACCCTCTTCCCAGCTAGCTGCCTTTTCCCATAGATCAGTGGTTCTCTATCGCATCCTGGCTAACATGCCATCTCTACTAAAAATACAAAAGTTAGCTGGGCATGGTGGTGTGCACCTGTAGTCTCAGCTACTCGGGAGGCTGAGTCAGGGGAATTGCTTGAACCTGGGAGGCGGAGGTTGCAGTGAGCCGCGATCGTGCCACTGCACTCCAGCCTGGCGACAGAGCGAGAGAGACTCCGTCTAAGAAAAAAGAAAGAAGATGAATGGTTCTCTGTCTTGACTGCACATTGGAATTAGCCCAGGTGCTTTAAAAATTCTGATTCCCAGACTGCACCACATACCAATAAAGCCAGAATCTCTAGGGAGGGACTCAGGCAACAGTTGTTTGAGATTTTTCCCAAGCAGTTCTAATGTACAGCCACGCTTGAGAACTAAGGCTCTGAAAGCATGTCTAATACTCTTCTTTACAGCTTTCTCTTACAGATCTTTGCAAAATTTTGGAATTACTCATTACACTAGTATTTGTATCAAAAACACCCAACCTGATTACTTTCAGGAGCTTCCAGGAGAGGCCAGCCTTCCTAGTCATACCTATGATTTGCTTCCTGATTACTTCATTATAGACGATAGATGAACGTCCATCTCCACATTTACAAGCTACTAGCAAGTCCCACAGTAATCCTTCTTGAGAAGGACAACCAGTATTGACAACTCAGGACACAGAATTCCAGAAATTCTCAAAGCACACACAGCTGAACTGCCCAGAATAACTAACGGGGAAGAGCTGAACACTTTTCCCCCTTCTGAGCCATTCATTCTTTATTTGCTTTACTTTTATTCATATTTTGTTTAATAAGAAATTAAGAGAAATAGTAATTGAGCACACTGTACTACTGAGTTTACTGATGCAGGGGCAATCCTTTATGATGTTTTGGGGGAATTATTATTATTTTTCTCTTTGGAGGCAGGGTTTCACTCTGTTGCCCAGGCTGAAGTGCAGTAGCCCCATCACAGCTCACTGTAGCCTTGACTTCATGGGCTTAAGTGATCCACCCACTTCAGCCTCCCAAGTAGCAGGGACTACAGATGGTAGGCATCATGCCTAGCTAATTTTTTTTAAAAAAAACAGAGACAAAGTCTTGCTGTGTGGCCCAGGCTGGTCTTAAACTCCTGAGCTCAAATGATCTACCTCCTTTGGCCTCCCAAAGTGCTGGAATTACAGGCAGGAACCACTGAGTCCAGCTGGGATTATGTTTATTGTTGTTATTTTTGTGTCCCTGTGTATTCTTGTGCTTTTGGTACTTAAAATTTTTTAAAATCACATAGAACCTGTTTATCAAAAAAATCTGATACATAAAACCATCTATTTCATTAAATGTTACTTTTGTTGCTTATTTATACTTTCTCTTATAACTGGTTGAGTCTATATATAATTGGGTCTCAGTGGAAGAGAGAGCATAAAGAAGTAAGGGAGACCAAGTTTAAAAAGGAGTGTGAAAAGGTAAAATTGAGGAAATGGTGTGAAACACAGACTAGAGTCCTAGAAACAGTTTGATTTGTTAGGTTCAGCTGCAATAGCTTTTACCCTTTGTTTCACCTCTCCCTTCCTACCACCTGAAAGTATTCTTACTGCCAGTAACCAGTGCTTCCTCACTCTCTAATATATAAGAAACCGATTAATAAGAAAGCCAACCAAAATGGTGCTGCAGTTTGCAAATGCCGGGTGTAATGTACCCTTTTATTATTTGAGGAAATGGGACCCCATTCAAAACTCCATGGTCGAATCCCTTTGATAACATTTGAATCCTTCTATAGATTCATGTTCACAAGTCACATGGAAAATACTCCAATGTGACTGCCTTGGGGGGAAAAAAATAAGAAGAAAAGAGAAATCTGAGGCCTGTAAAAATGTCATGGAGGTTAAAGTGATATTTATGGCATTAATTGTCACTTACACCCTTTAACCTTTAAATACTCTGTCAATCTACTTGACTTGAAAAAAATAGAATTATACTTTTTGTTATGACATTAATAAACTTACAAATCTTGTTTTATAGACTTTCCAGATTATTCTAACAACAAAAGATCAAGAAATAAATTCAAGAACAAATTTGT